ATTAATAAAACACGTCTTATATCACTTTGATAGGAAAACACAGGACTGAGATTCTATGCATTAATTCAAACATCTTATTGTAGTTCATCCCATGGGAAAAAAGTTTATCCACTTAATAAAATAGCAACAAAATAGATCTTCAGATCTAATCTGGAACTTAACCTCACTAAAGGCAAGATTGGATTCTTTGGTCAAGTAAATAAAAACACTAAATTTGTAACTAAATTTTCTTTTGAAATAAAATTTTGATTTGCTTAGATAAACTTTGAAGGGCACTAAATACTGAAAGTTGAACCATGGTAATTTGTTATGCTGACAAGATAGTTTGCTTTAGGAAAAACCTTGAAGGAAAACTTTCCTCCGCTTTTCCTCCTTTCACATCAGGTATGTAACATCTCTTTCGTTATTTTTCTACTCTGCTCAGCAAGTTCTTCTTACACAGTATTTGAAATGAATGCATCATAGCAGATTTACATGTGCAGTAGGTTTTTGGAAAAATTTTGAGTGGATTTTTCTTGCCTATTCTATGTTTAATGCTCATAAATACAAGTATTGAATATTTTCTTCCATATGTCAAAATCAAAAAGACAAAAATGAAATAGAGGACATGAAGGTACAGAGGTGGCTATTAGAGAAGAGCTAGAGAAAAAAGGAACGGAGAGAGGGAAGGGGACTAAAAGTGATCGAAGTCTGCTGTACGTATATATGAATCTGCCAAAATGAAACTCCTTAATCTATAAAATTAATATGAATTGACCAAAAGATACACAAGACTGGCTACTGTAAATCAATACAATGTTAGAACATAGAAATATTACATTAGATATACTTCACATACATGTGGAATTTTTTGACAATTTAGAGTCCTTTGACAATTTTCCAAATGCTTTCTGCAAAATAAGGAATTTAAAGATATTAAATTTCATTGATTATCAAATTATAGTACAAAAGGGAAGCCACATGGAGAAATATTTTATTTTTGTGCCCAAATCATACAATTCGGAACTAAAGAGATGTTAAGAAGAAATGATAACATTTGGGGGTTTTGGGGTTAGGGACCATGTTTAACATATGTGAGGTATTTCCGTTCAATCCTCAGCACTCATACAAAGAATGAAGAAAGGAAAGAAAATGCCCAAGATTGTAACAAAAGGATTTTAATTTTTTTCAAAAGTGACAGCATATTCATTTTAATTCTTCGTTAAGCTGGGTAATAAGTTTGTAGGCACTTCATTTAGGAAAAAAATCGGTATTTTTAGTACCAGAGATTATTAGCCCTTTTGAAAATAACTGTTTTAGGCTAATTATTGGTTGAAATATTTGACATTTTTTAAAGCAGTTTAATATTTCTGATGTTATTCCTTTTCTAATAGTATGGTCTTTTATAAATGAGAAGCAATAACTCAGTAACAGATCAATATTTAAATAGTTATAAACCTTTAATACATTTCCATAGTATTGTTAAAGTGCAGATTTTAGTAGACCAAGAGATAAGCTGCCTTATTTAAAGTTTGGATATCGCTTTCCAGCCTATTTATTGGCCAGTGAATAGAAAATATTATGAGCAATAGAAAAGTTGGCAGAGACTAGGAAGTTGAAATTTTTAAACGGATAAAAGGTTTTGAAAACTGCATGAATGATGTGACAAGTGTGTAAAAGTAAAAGAGTATATGGAGTGGGAATAATAGTGTATTTTTTGCAATAATTTTTAAAAATTTAAACATATACCAAGTGTTTTGATCAGTTCTGCCCTTATACTCCATTACTTTGCAGCATGATTTTTTCTATGAAAGCAGTATAAAATTCCCAAAGGATACTATCCCAAGAAAATATTCAAATTTTAGATAAATGAAGATTTATCAGATAAATAGATCTAAATGTCACATTTGTTTCCAAATTATATTTTATAACTGGAAAAATCTACGTTATACATTGTACAAGTCATGGTCTTCAATTAAAATAGAAAGTGTTGCATTCACACTTTTTGCATATGTTTTATATCCACACTTGTTATTACTATTAAAATGTGCATTTTTTTCCAAAATAAATATATATTCCAAATTTTATTGTGCTTTTGCAAGATACTCTCTTTTTGATATCCATGAATACTGGGAAGGCTCTCTTAAGGAGAATTTTATTTATTGTAAGAAAACATTTGGTTTAGCTTAAATTTCTGTACAAATTTGAGATATTTTTAAGGTACATGTTACTTTGTGCTTATAGTCTATCTGCATTATATTTTCATGATAATCAAATGACTCAACTATTCATATCTCATTCTAGTTCTTTTCAATGGATGGTTCAACAAATAAAATAATCTATATGAGTCAGTAGTGTTTCTCTTGCATATACATAATATTATGCATATATGTTTATTATAAAGAGAGATCACATAATAATTTATAATAGGTTAAGTTTAGTTAAACCTAATTTTATTTTTGGCTCTTTGTGTCTGAAACAAGATTACTAGATCCTTATTCATAATTTTTACACATTGGATAGATAGACTTGATCTCTCTAAAAGATGTGTATTCAGATTTCATTTTGGAAAGACGGAGATTATTTACTCCTAATTACACTACCTTTCTCAAGGTTCGCCTTCTCCTTAAAAACATCAGACACCCTTAGGTGATCAACTGACTTATCCAATCTCGGTTATAATAATGAAAGGATCTAAGACAAAATGTGACTAATTTGTGTCACAAATTTACATTTATTATTCTCTAGTAAATATCCAACTTGTCTCCTACACACAAAAAATGTTTTCTGAAGCATTTTTTAAGAAACTGACAGATGTCAATAGTTTTTATTGGAAAACACACTCTAAAAAGAATATGTAAAAGATTACAGCTCATTTTTTGGAGTCTATCTAGCTCTTGATAGTCTATATAATTGAATAAAATTGTGCACCTTTTATCTTTGAGTACAGAAAAATATTCATAAATAGTGATATAAACATAGGATCCTATCCAACTAACTAAACAAAAGAAATAAAAATTAGCAAAACAATATTTTAAGTATCTGGCAGTACCCTCTAAATCAAGGCAAAGTTAAGGTTAGTGGCAGTGTTCACATTTTCTTATAAATTTAAGACTTACGTGTGCCACAAAATATTAATATTTACCTTTTTAAACAGGTTAATTGTGTGTTAAAGAAAACACACATAGGTTTTGTATAATGAAAAGAACAAATTTTCCTAACTTTTAATCGGTTTTTAATTTAATTGATTTTGAAAGAATAAATAAATAAATGACATATCCTAGTTTTAGAATATAGCATACGATTAATTCCAAGATTGAAGGGAGAATAGAAATATTTCCTCTTTTCTTCTTATCATGAACAACATGCACAAATGCAAACACATAAAAACGTACTTGAATTTTTTATAAACATTTATAATAAAGCACATTCATTTATCTTCATAGTGGGCCACCTTGCTTTTGCTGCCCATATAAAAATGAAAAGCATGAGACAAACTCAGAACATTCTGAAAAACTAAAGTATTCAAAGTACAGTCACGCTTTCATAACTGACTGCTTTAAGACTGGTCAAATAGGTACTCAAAGACTTATGAAGCCAAAGATTTCTTGTCGATTCATCACTTTTTTTGCCCTAAACCCTTAAGCTAGAACATGTGGTTGTTGATTGCTTAGGGACTTGCTACCCTTTGTAGTCTAAAAAAAAAAAAAACAAAAAACAAAAAAAACATTTTGTATTCATCATTTGGGGTATTTCCAGAACCAACTGGCTAGTAGACAAAGGTATTCTGAAGTGGAGTAATAGAAAGGCAGAGGCACAATTGCTCAGCCCCCCCATAAACATTTAATTGTTTGCTTATTATTTGGATTTATATAACACAAAGCATCAATTAGGGCATCCCAGATTTTTTCCGCAGCATGATAAAATGCTTTTGGTACCATTATGCAAGCTATTTGAAAACAACAGTGTTTTTATTTGACTTACATAGCAAAAAGATAATAGAAAGCTAAACATCAGAAAGAGCAGTCTCCATCCAAGGCAAAGAACTTTGTCTGGTTATCAGGATGGCCGACTTCTCTAGTTTTGTTAAGAAATAGCTCCCAGTATTAAAAAATCAACTAATGTGTGTGTTTTTTATACTTCCAAATTGTTTATGATGAATTACAATTTCAATCACATGAATTTTAATAAAAACATATAAAATCAATTTCAAAATTTGTCTGCATATACCGAAAATGTCTAAATGTATGAATTAATTACATTCTCTAATGTTTTCTATCAAATGTGTATCTGTAATGCAGTCTGAAAATATTGATTTTATCTATTTTTTTGGAAAAGGGAAACTAGAAAAAGCTTCTTCCCACAGAAAATTTATTAACAAAAAAATGCCCAATTAAATGTTTTTAAGCAAAGAAGTGTTTCGTTTCATAATCAGTGGAAAGATGTTTTCTTTTTTTTTCATTTCCATATCCCAAGTTACACATACTATCATGTTGTAAAGACACCAATTCACAATAGATGTACAGAAATCATTGAAAAATCTAACTTTGAAAAACAAATCAGGTTATAGTTTTAACCAACTGTATATTCACACAGGTGCTTGATAAAAAGCTATCTGATGATATAATGAATTATTATTCTTGAGTAAATGTATACAGTTGGCAAATATTTTTCAATAATCACTATCCAACAGCCGATAGTTTTTCCTTTTAAGTCTTTCAGGTTACACTTCGACAATCATTTAAAATTGTGATGCTGAGAATATTTAAAAATATAAAATGAAAGCAGCATTAACCATGGAATGATATTCAGCTTCAGAAATGAAAATGAACAGAAGTGTGTTAGAGCAAAATTGGACAATGTGAAAATCAAAACTGCCAAGATGAATAACTTTTCTTTCAACATATTGTATCCATTGTTTTCCCTCTAGAAGACAAAAGTAACAAAAAAGGAAAATAGCTACAAAACAAAAACAAAAACAAAAAAGAAAGAAACAGGAAGACCTGCTTCAGGAATTTAATATTCTGATTTAATTGGCTAAGAGGTCCAAATGCTAATACTTCTAATAATCAGCCATTCCTTTTGTGTTTTGGTCACACATATCCTCATACAATATACATCAAATGGAATTTTTTGATTAACATCTGACATTTCAAAGTTTCCATTTTTGAATTCCCCTAGTCTTAAGTAAGTATCGCATTGTCTTATTTGTTTACTAAGAATAATTCTTTTCCCAACATCTAGGATTCCATGATGCAAAATATCATTTTGCCGATCTTCTGTTCCAGTATTCACTTTAATTTTTTTTATTATAATTGGGTTTTCAAAGACAATAAGAAAGACATCTCCTTTTGAAGGTGGTTTCCCCCAAAAGTACTCATCAACACTGCTATAAGCCTTGCTTGCTTCATAATTTTCAAACACGTTCATATTGGTGTACAGACTTGCAGGGGGGTTATCAGGGATGTCAAATGACTCCTCTTCAAAATCATCATCCTTTAGCTTATTCTCAGTTCCTTTATATGAGGAGTAATAACCCATGTGCTGGAAGAGAGATGGTTTAAATCGGATCACGTTTTTCTGAGCCAACAGACCTCGGAAATGAGTCAATAGCCAATCACAAGGCATTTCTTGATAGAACATCAATAAAAAATGTGCCAGTCGTGGGAGATCATGAGAATGATAGAGTTTACCAATGTAGCCAAGTTTAGAGAACTCAAGAGTTACCCAGTAAGTTCCTTCTAAAGATGCAATGACCTTCTTGATGGCAGTTAAGAAATTTTTGGAACATCGGACATCGTCTTCAAGCATCACATAATAGTCTGAAGTATTGGCACAAAAATTAAGCAGAAAAGCATAGTCTACATTTTGCTTGGAACGAAATTTGACTCTATCTTCTGGATCATTGTAATTTCTTTTAAGACCATCCAAGATTGGGTAATATTCCTCGGGAGCATGTATCACCATTAATCTTCCTGCAATAATATGATGGGCAAACTTCTGTGTAATATCCTGCACCATGATATCACGCCAGGATGAATTAAAGTCTGCTAGATGAACCACTACTGAAATTTCCTTCAGTTCTTCATAGCTGGATTGCTCAAAAATTGATTTGATTGTCTCAAGCAAATAGTTTCCTTTCCTTCGCTTCACTGATGAAAGTCCAATAGTAAGATATCCTAAACAAAAATTCAGAAGGAAAACAAATTAAATGTGAGATTATTTTCCTATGGGTCTGCTATTAGATTAAGTAAGTGTAGTGAATGATTATGTCTAGAACATTTTATGAATACAGTACTAAGCTCAATATAAAGGTTGTTGTAGTTTATACATAATTGATATTTTCTTTCTTTTTTTTCTTTCTTTCTTTTTTTTTTTTTTTTTTTTGAGATAGGGCTCATAGCGATCCTCCTGCCTCAGCTTCCCGAGTGCTGGGATTACAGGCATGCGCCACCACACCCGTCTCATAATGGATATTTTCTATTAAAAATAATTGCATGATAAGCATCATGTATGGGTCCCCTAGCTGTGATGCAAAAAAAAAAAAAAATTGTTCAGAGTATTCTGCAGCTCAGTGTTTTCCTACATACCCAACGGAGAAAAGCAATTGGTGTTCGATAGCAGAAGTTACTTTTAAAAACTCTACAAAGGAAGAAGGAATTTCAACTTCAGGTTTACAAACCATTTTCAAATGATGAAAAATAAAAATTAATAATTTCTTCTTTTCTTTTCTTTTTATCGTTATTATTAAGTTTTGAGGTTTTTTTTTGGGGGGGGTGTTTGAGGCAGGGTCTCACTATGTAGTTGAGACTGACCTGGAACTCACTATGTAGCCCAGGCTGGTCTTGAACTCATGGCGATCCGCCTTCCTCAGCCTCCTGAGTGCTGGGATTACAAGTGTGTGCCACCACACCCGGCAATAATTTCTTCTTTTAATTACATTTAAATTTCTCAAAGAACACATATTTTTAATTTTTTTCTGATTACTGTCTTTATCTTGTAACAGAAGAATTCATAATCGGACTTTTAAAATTTTAGTTTGAAATTTATCTTTCATATAAACTAAAAAAAAATCATAAGATTAATATGAAAAACTTCTCATTGCCCAAATGTACTATATGTTCTCCTAAAACATAAATATTACTTCAAAGAATTTAAACAGATTTTATAGTAATTTTATCTGGGAAAAGTTTCATTCAGATATATAAAATCTAAACTAACAAACTGGATTTTTTAGAGTAAAATAAAACTGAGGAGATAGTTCACCTCTGAAGAATGTTTCACATCTTTCTGTTGAAAAAAATACATTATAAAGCTCATTCTCACATGAATCAGAATTGAATAAAAATTATAAAACACCATTTGGAAAGTGAAAAAATGTTTATATATATATATATCTATATATATATATATAGATATATATATATAGATAGATAGATAGATTGATTTAATATAGACACCTACATGATTTCATTTAAACAATACCGAAAAAGCTTTTTCTAAGAAAAAAATTTTCTTACTAGTCTAAATTGAGATTTACATGTTTTGTAACTCTGACTTCTGTTAAAAATTCAAGTATTTTATTTGCAACCATCACAAACATATAAGCCATCATATCTCATTTATATTCAATAATGGCTAAGACCCATGAATGACTTTGTACACCACAGGCAGAATAATATGCAATATTATCTGTTACACACATCTCAAATATTCATAATAATCTTTGGGGGTAGTTATCGTCATTCTGCTTTACAGATGAGGAAAACAAGTTCTAAAGTGATGAGGCAAAGTGTGCGACTTGTTCTCAACTTAGTGTGGTGCCCAGATTCAAAGTATCCACTCTCATCCTCTGTGTGACATGATCTCTTTATTACAGGTGAACGGCATTTGTGCCAACCGAAGTTAGTGAATTTAGCATGAAGGGGAATCGGTAATGTTTACACAAAGGGATTGTAAAAGTGGGTTAGATGTGGTTTTTCTATAAAATGGAATACTACTCAGCCATAAAGAATAAGAAATTAGATTCATTCATAAGAAAATGGATACGTATTGAGGATACACTCCTAAGTAAATAAGTCACACATGTGTAAATACAGAATAGTTCCTCTGGTGTGAAAAACTGTAATAGTACATAAGATCCTAATGAGATAATGGACAATATGAAATAGGAAGAAAAGGGCTAAAGTTGTAGGGAAAGTGGGAAGGGTCGGGGAAAGGGAATAAGGGAAAAGGAAAAAATATGAGAAAATGAAAAAATGGAAATAAAGGGTTTGTAAATGGGGAAGGGAGGAGGGGGTGATGGGAGGGCAGGGACAAGAGGAAAAAATGAGAAGCAAGACCTGCCATGTAAAGGAACAAGATCCCAATGATGAATGTAACTGTACTGTATACCTAAAATGTGCCAATAAACTTAATTTTAAAAAAAGATTGTGGCCACCTTACACAAGTGAAACAAAGCCTGGAACGTTAAACATGTGAAGTAGAATAAAAGGAATAAATCTCTAAAGAAACCCACATCAATTTCTGAATTTCCTCAACTTGGTGATCGCGACTGGCTGGCATAAATACTTCTTAAAAGGAAAGCTCAGTTTTCATGTTTACACATAATTTATTAAAAACTTTATGGTATCACTGAATCCAATTTATTTGTTTACTCATTTTTATTAGTACATGTTTGTAGTACATGCAGTTTACAATCATCTTGAGTAGAACCTAATTTAATGAAAGATTTGTATTTTTCACACAAACATCTAAATTAACTTGCATATTTCAATGTTTGATGTTTTACAGTTAAATATGGTAATTCTACATTCTCCGTGATTCATAGGATATTGCTACCTATAGCTACAATGTCTCTAATAATAGCTATATAATGTCTACGGATTCATGAATTGCAGTTTGTTAACTTCTCGGCTTAATTTTTAAAAAATGAATGTACTGTATTGAATAGTCACGTCTGTCTGGAAACTAAGAATTTGACCTTTTATGAAGCATAGTATTTGCAGATGTAATTAGTTAAAAGTCTGCACAAGAAATATTTAGATTTAGGACTGAGCTCTAAATCCAATTATTATGGCCTTAATAGAAGAGAAAACACAAAGGGACAAAGGGAAGAAGGGCTTTGATGATAGAGACAGGTATTGAATTCATGCTGCCACCAGCCAAAGAATGTCATGGGGATACCAGAAGACAGATGAGTAGGGGTCTGAGAAAGAACTAAAAATCACACACACGAACCCGAGCACATACACAAATTGAAATGTAATCACACAATTTTCTTAGCCGGGGCAATTTGGGGCATGAAGCCACAGTCTCTTAGGTCCTTCTGGCCCAACAAAGCAAGTTTCAGAGAGACTCTCTGACACCATAAAGATAACACCTCCATTAAAAATCTTTTTGCTGGGGATTTAGCTCAGTGGTTCTGCTGCCTGCCTCCCAGGCGCAAGGTCCTGAGTTCAATCCCCAGTACCAAAACAAACAATTGAAAAAACTTTTTTATGCTTACTGCAATGATTGCTTCAAATATATGCCATAATTGATTGACTGCCAACCAGTGTCCTATGTAATTTTTGTCAACTAATACACTTGCAACAATTGACTCGATGTAACTTTCATCTTTGTTCTCTTTTATGTTTAAAAATTCCAAGCTCTCCAACCACTTCAGGGATTGCTAGTTTTAGAAAATATAAATTGTCTCTCCCCACACAGGTGATCATCCTCATATCAGCTTTAAATAAACTGTTCCATACCCATTAGCCTCAATTTGCATTTTAGGGTTATGATTCTAGTTTAGAACATTCTGAGGGAATACAGAACTGCCAGTATTATGGCAGGTCCTGGCATCCAGAACCATGAGAAAATATATTGTTTTATTTTTGTTGTTAGCCACCTACTTTGCAGTAATTATTACAGCACTTGCAAAAAGTAATACACTTAGCACCACTAATTTAACACTGGTGGCAAGTCATAAAATCAAATCATGAAAAGTTGAGAAGATAACAATACAGAAATAGTTATTTTTGACAGTTAACTTTTAAACTTTTTGAAGTAAATTGATTTTTCTTGTCTCCTTTACTGTCCTGCAGAAAATTGATCAATGTCCAATATAAATTAGACACTTAAATGTTGTCTTTATTAATGGAATTTGAATAGTGTGTATTTGTAATCTGTGAAGAAACACTGAAGGTCTTCTTAATTTACATATCACATTAATGAATCTTAATTTTTACTGCCGTATGAAAGAAATTAATTATCAATATTGTCATACAGTGTTCCCATGCATGCTTTCTTTAAGAGGTGAAGATACTCACGCTTTCTTTGTAAAGTTGTGGCAGCCAGGTAGCGATAAGTGACATTTATGGCTCCCGAAAAATTAGATAAATCCTTGAAAGTATGAACATAGCGTTCAGAATTTAGTTGATGCGTGGATGTTTCCCTTATTAGTTGTTTGTCACCCTCCTAAATATGAAGAAAGAAGCAGAGAAAACAAATAAACAGTAGATGTTCATGAATAATGCTTCTTCTTATATAATGAAGATATAGTTCAGATAATCAAGAGCAATATATAAATCTCCATTACTTTTCCCATAATTTGAAGATTACCACCACTCCCTTGATTTTCTACTGGAGCCCCTGTGCTAAGTTCCTTTTTCCTTTATTCCATTCTTTTTTAAAAGATCTATTCATACATGTTAATATTACATTAATATTACATATGACAGGATTTATTTTGGAAAGTTAGTAAATTAATTTAATGTATTTTAGTCAATTTCAGATCCATCACTTTCTTTTTTCTTTTTCTTTTCCATCCAGGTAACCCTGTTCTTCAGGAGTCCAGCTCCTGTTTTTCTTTCCTTTCTCATTTAATTCTTTATTAATTCATGTAGTTTTTACATTCCTTTTATTCCATTCTTTATATTGTAGTTTATTTGCTTTTCTACAGTATATACAAATCTTGTAATTTTCTTCAAAAATAAAGTTTTGTATACAAATTTTAATAGTGTTGAGGTTAACATTCAAAATTTTTGCTATAGCTAAGGATCTTAAGCTTGATGTTAGAGTTTCACTTGAGGCTAGTTCTCACCAAATTCCCCATTTTCCAATCATAGCAATCCTTTCACTCTTCCTCAAGCACTGTCAAATAAAAGAGCATACACTATTATTTTGAATGTGAAACTTTAGAAATCATTACGAAGTTGCAGCAGTGAAAATGATCATTGGATCTTGGGAAACACCTTAAATTAAGAATTTAATTAATGAATAAAACACGTATATGCTGACTGTAATTGAAAATTGTTGTGAATGGACAGCTGCTGTCCTTGTTACATGGCAGCATTTTTTTTTTTTTTGGTCAAATATCTTCCAGTAACTTCCAAGAAGATACATTTATATCAAGTTGAGGATATGTGCTCAGCCTTTATTGGGTGCGTGGGTGTAGGTGCACTTGTGCTTTTATGTCTGCTTCCATTGGAGGCAAAGTCTGCTCATATTAGATTTAATATTTTTTAATCCATATGATAGTGGATTTTTCATGCCATCTCATCTTTAAGAAGGCTTAAATTTAAGAAAAAACATATCTTGTTAGGCATTAATTGCTTGCATTTTTAAACATTTTTATATAATCTCAATGGTTGGATTTGATTATCTAATCACTATGCGTTCATGACCTTATTTGTTATAGATTATTAGCAAATGATATGTTTGGCTTATATATATGGGTTATTACTATTTGGGGTCTATAATTAGGAATAATTTATTGGGGAGGCTTTTTGGTAAGGTGTGCACTTTTCTATCTGTTATTGTGTCTATCTATTTCTTACTACTCATTATAGGATGTAATGCCAGTCATTAAGACCAAAGAAAATGTAAAAGCATTAAACACTGGTCTTGATATTATGTGTTATGGTCAAACCTCTGTTCTAAAAGATTGGATATATCTTACACATTTTACCTTCATTGGAATATTCAGTACTTTCAAAAAGACGATTAAGTCAAACTTTAAATCCACAGTCAGGCTGAAATATTCTTAGAATAAAAACTGAAAATAAAAGAGTATAACTGGACATTTATAAAATTTCAGTATGGTTCTTATTAAATGAAGATTCATTCTGAATATTACTTCATATACCCAATTCTTCTTGTGAAACTATATTTTTGCTTATGTATTCCTATATTTTATGTTTCCCTAATAATTTAGAAAAAGAAAAATGTTCTAGTATTTTGTAAGGTTTATACTGTATTTAACATCTGCATGAGCTGCAGACTTTCAAAATAACTGAAATTAAACCTTACTGAATAATTGGATATCCACTTTCTTTGTATATAAGCATTTTCATCTGTTTCTACCAGCAAACCTATAAAAATCATAGAAGTCTTATAACAAACAAATTTAGAATTGCCAGAAAGTAAGGAGACTCCAGTTTTATTGGGCTCCTTTAATAGTAATGCAATAGTTAAGATAATTAATCGAATCTAGAAGAAATTTCTGTAAAAATCATAGTAGTCCTGATGATAAAGAATTCATTTTACCATTCTATTCCTATTCATAGTTACTCTCTAAAGGATATTGAATATCTCTTTAAGATTTCTATCCTGAACATGTAAAAATTTAGGCCTCTTCTGCGATAAGATTGAATACATTCATAACCGATTGAAGGACATTAACAGAATATAAAATCAAATGTAACTGATATGAAAGAACTTTATTAAATTCTCAAGAACAAGCTTCTTTACACTTTTCAGCATAACTAAATAATGCAACTTTCACCCATGTCAGCTTCATTGGCTGCTTTCTGAGGCATCCAACTGAACAGCTACGCTCTCCCTGGGTACCTTCTTTTTTGTAGCTACTACACTATAGTGTGTTTCTCAGTAATAAGACGAGCTTTATGGCAATCATTTTCTGGATGGAAATGCAATTCAATGGACTAGCTACAGACTAAATATATACCCTAGTGGTTACTTTGAGGGAACTCACAGCCAAGAGGCTAAGTTGATTGGGCGTGAGGTGTTTCCTCCACTTAGTTTGCCTGATAATGGTGTCTGGCTCTTCTGCTAGGCTCAGCTTCCTTCCCACTGAAAGCCACATCCATCTCTAATACATAAGCAAATGCACTAAACCAATAATCCCCTAGGATTTCACGCCACAAATGGATTTTCTAGCAAAAACAACAGAATAGAATATGACCTAAATCCAGAGACTTTACTACCTCTCACTGTTGATCCGATTTCTTTGAATTGTAAATATTACCTCCAAGTAATAAAAGGCAAATCTACTAAAATTAATGCTTGCAAAACTGTGTACATTGTGGCTTTTTTTGGGGTGGAGATGGAAATTAAAGTCAGAAAAGCTTGTAAAAACAGATGAAAGGTAAGAGGGAAAACGTTTAAAACTTCACATTATATTCTATTAAGGGGACATATTAAATATTTTAGAAGAATAACTTTGGATGAAATATAATATTGAATATTTCAAATCTTTATACACATTAAACCTTGGCATAAAATTTAGATGATAGTGAAATTTAATACAAATCCCCTAGAAAATAATGAAAATTTAAGTAACAAAAATACTATCAATGGATTCAAAGTAAGAAAGAGGTGCTTATAGTTAACTAGTTTAACTCACTTTTTCCAACTTAATGCAAGTATTTTTAAATAATAGTTTTTTTTAAGCCTAACTAATAATCTTTCCTTTTTACTGAGCGTGGCTTGCCATTTGAATTAGGTAACTACCTACTATTGAATGGGGAATTTCAGTGAGAAAGTATTCTTCAGTAGAATTCCTTACAACACATTTGTTTTACACTAGGTAAATACGATCAGTATTTAGACATGACTTTTTAAAAATTAACAAAATGGAGCAATAACCTTTTATTTTCCTATGAAGAGCTGCTTCATGGTTTCTTACACATTTTACAGTGAATTTAAAAGAGTTCTGTACAAAAAGACATAAGGATGTTACTAAGTACAATGGTTTGGGTGTCGTTAATGCAACATTACAATTGTAGTTGAAACTATCTCATAAATGTGTTGAATCACTCAACACAGGAGTCACACAATGGATAGCATTTGCTTGCTTTAAAAATTTTCTTTTATGTCTTCCAGGAGACAGGTACAAGAGGTACATTTTTCTCAAATAACTGAATTATTATTATGAGATTCCCTAATTAATTTATTATGTTAAATTTTATTGAGAAAAGGTAACTTTATCATGGGGTCTTGTTCTATTAACTTTATATCTCATCATAAACCTGAAGTTCAAGTTTAAAATGCTGTAAAATGTGTATTGTTAGTAAGCATCTTTTGTTTGTTATTTTGGTCCAAATCATGCCCAGCCAAATTTTGTCAATATATGGTTATTTCAACTCTTGTGAATTGATCATGAAAATTGAAATGAGGGATCTCTATTTAAAGCAAATATACCTAGGCAATGTGATGATCTAGATTCTGCAAAAATTTCTCTATTAAAACACGGAGCTAAAAATCATAAGAGATTTACAGAGGATCTTCTGAGAGAATCAGTACCAAGGAAGATAATGTGATTGTTAAGAGATATCGTAATATATGGTAAATAATAGGTAGTTTTTAAGTTATGCTTAATAAAATAAAGAATTTTTGGGAAATGTTCTCTCTTGCTAAGATATTCTTGAAAATTTTACCACTCTGGCTTGTATGAAATATATTTTAGTTCCTGTTAGCATAAAGGTTGTGATTTTCTGAAATGCTTTAATAGTATAATAATATAAATTTAGAACATATACCTTAGCTTCAATTCAGATAGAGAAAAACAAATGAACATTATATCATATTATGATAGCCAAGACTTCAAGTTAGTTTACAACCTGCCAGATTCTAGGCTGATTTAATCCTTATTTCAAAGCAGAAAATAATCCACCTCCAGAACTTACCAGAACATAACTGTCTTCAATGTACAAATTCAGAAACAGGAGGAAAATTACAAGAACTCCTAAGAATGACACTGTGGACCGTTTTCGCAAGCATCTCATTTTATTCCGTATTTGAAAAAAATCTTTCATTTGATAAAATTTAATCATTCTCTGCTGTTAAAGAACAGAAAACTGACAGTTAATTTTGGATAGAATATTTATTTATCGCATATGTAAAAATATCAAGCTTTTATAGAATCTCAGCCTTTAAATAATCAAACTAAAACTCTACTTCCAGTTTCTTACATGACACCAGCACTTTGGATGATTGTATAAATGATACACAGTGTATGATATAGCACATACGTATTATGTCAGACACATTAACATAAGGGTGATGTAGTGGTCTAGACTGATAAGGGGAATTCAAAAAGTGAGACAAGCCTTAGAGTTATTGATGAAGTCATTAAATTTGGAAATAATAATATAAAATTGAGTATTTATGAGAAATAGAACAAACAAGAGCAAAACAGGTATGTTAACATTTACAGTGAGATATAACAATAAAGTAAACTTCCATCTCACATGTTATACTGTAATGAAAATAAGAGAAATATAGGCTGAATATTAATCTCAGAATAGATGATACTGAAAATATTTCATGGTTAATCTGAATAAAGACAAGTAACAAAAGAGGTTATGGCTTTGGGTTAGGCATAAAATAGTTAAGAATATCTGAGTTAAAATTGTTTTGTTTATTTTCCCAGTGACTCTTGCTCTATAACTATAAGTCCTGGGCTGGCATAACCATATTGCTTTGCTTGATCTATTAACTCATAGTTTGTCTGTTATGGAGAATTCATGGTCTGCAAGAAAAAAAAATGAAATTCAGAAAAATTAGTGGAAAGAGAATATTTTATTCCATTTCACTCTATTGTGATATACTCAAAGCACATATTGATTCAGATTATTGACCATTGGTTTTAAACATATAAACATGTCTGGAGAGATCAACAGACAAGACTCATTTTTTTCTGCATAGCTTTCTTTAAAAAAATTTTAACTGACAGAATATTTATACTTAATATTTAAAACTCAACCAATTAAAGTTACCAGGCATGTCCATAATTAGGACAAAACTATTCTCTGGTGTTTTCTATAATCATACATAAGATCCTAATGATATAATTGGCAATGTGAAATAGGAAGAAAAGGGCTAAAAGTGTAGGGGAAGTGGGAAGGGTAGGGGAAAGGAAATAAGAGGAAAGAAAAAATATGAGAAAATGAAAAAATGGAAAAAAGGTATTTGTAAATAGGGAAGGAGGAGGGGGTGAAGGGAGGGCAGGGCTAAGGGGAAAAATGAGAACCAAGACCTGCCATGTAGAGGTACAGGACCCCAAGGATGAATGTAACTGTACTGTATACCTAAAATGTATCCATAAACTCAATGAGAAACAAAAAGCAAACATGAAAAAAAATCAAGAAATAACACTGATGATAGAATTAAAAGAAAATGATACTATATTCCTACCATTATGTATCTAGGCTCAACATAGAGGTAAATATGAAAATTATAAGGAAAATGGCAATATATAAAGATAAAAATAAAATTTATGAGACAAAGATGTATCTTAAAATTAAATATATTTGATTTGATACTTTTATAAAATATATAAAATATTCTTTATTTTTATCATTAAACATGAATGAGGAATAACAGGAAAAAAGATGAACTATCTAAAATATAGCAATAGTTTCAAGCAAAGAGAAAAAGAACAATCCTACTATAATTCTCCCTCATTCCTGACCCACAAAATATGTGAGATAATAAGTGTGGCTAATTTTTACTTCATAGGCAACAACAGTAGCTTCATAGGCAGCAAGAGATAACTATCTACAAGAAATTCACACTGATAAAATGGTTTCATAGGCAAAAATAGATAAATAACTATCAACGAGAAGCCCACATTAACGTGTCACCTTCTTATGCTTAATCAGACTAAAGGAGTATCTATTTTATCATCTTTTCAAATAATTAGTATTTGTTTCCATTTTTCTTATCTTAGTCATTGATTTTCTCTTCTATTTTCTGCTTACTTTTTCTTTATTTTGCTATTTTTTAATCTTAATTTGCACCTCTTTTTAAATTTCTTGATATGAAAATGCAGATATTTTATTTTTGAAATAATAGACTTTAAATAGCCAAATAAAAGATGAATTAATAATAAAAGAAGAGAAAAGATAATTTATGCAAGCATTAATCAAAATGTTAGATTTATAATATCCAAAGTAAACATTTATTTTTTTTGAGGGGTGTACCAGGTATTGAACTCAGGTCCCTGCACTTGCAAGGCAGGCCACCGAACTGCTGAGCTAAATCCCCGGCCCTAAACATTTATTAATTGATGAAGACATAAATTTATCATAAAAGCATAAACATCCTATAATGAAGCATGTACCAAATATGTTTTCAGAACAAATGAAGCAAAAATAGATATTAGTAAAAGGAGAGATAGATAAATATAAAATGATGCTGACTGAAGATATACACAAAAAAGCAGTGAACAACTGGCAACATTATCAAGTCAATCTAATTGGCACTTATGGAACATTCGACCCATCAACAGCAAAATATACATTCTTTTCAGCTGCTTACTAAGAACATAGTTTGGGGAATAAGATAATTGTCAATAAATTTGAAAGCCCTGAAACTATACACTTGGCTAGTATGTTCACCTATGACAAGACAAGCTTGCTAGGAAGGTGTGGAAAACAGCCAAATATTTGGAAAGTAAATAACACACTGCTAGATATTCCATGGGTACAAGAGGTTTTCAAAATACATATTATAAAAATATAGAACTGCATGAAATTGAAACATAAGACATACAATTTTTGTGTGATACGTGCAGTGTAATGTTTAAATAGAAATTCAAAACACTCCACACTAAATTTAGAAAAGAAATTTCAAAAATAAAATATCTGCACTCCTATGTCAAAAAATTAAAAAAGAAATACAATCTAAGCTTGTAAAAAAGCAAAATAATGAAAAAGTAAGCAGAAGACAGATGAAAGACAAAATCAATGACTAAAAATAAAAATGAAAACAAATGCTAACCCTTTGAAAAGATAATAAAATAGATATTCCTTTAGTCAGCTTAGGCATGAGAAGGTGATAAAGTTACTGATATCAGAAATGAGACAAGTAACATCATTAAGGATTTTACCAATTTTAAAAGAATAGAGGATACTCAAGTATTTTCTGGGGGAAAAAAGGTCCAATAATTTTGGTAACTCAGGTAAAAATGGACAAATTATTTTAATTACACAAACTACCAAAGCTCATTAAAGAAACAGAATAATTTCCTCTCTACTTAAAATGATAAATTTTAGTTAAAAAAAAAAGAAAAGCAAAAAGAGAATGTCCACATGGCTTTACCAAAAATTTTTCCATATATCTAAGGAAAAAAATAATGTCAATGTACACAAGCTCTTCCAAGCAATGGAAAAATATATAATTCTTACTGAATGCAGATCAAGAAGCAAGTTTATTAACATCTTATTCAATATTTTCAGTCATTTTATGAATAATGTACAGGACTAGAAAGTGTAGCAAACAACCAGTCGCATTAGAAATATTAATAAGAATTCAAATATAACTAACCCAAATTTTATTTTTTCTGAATCTGAAAATATATGCCCTCTAAAATGTACAGCCCCTCATCCATTACTTCTCCGTCCTCCGTAACCTGGCCAGTATTCACCTAGTAAGTTCTGACTACAGTCAGTCCCAGTGCATTTGAGAAAGGATGTTCCTTATCTTTCCCTTGGCTCTCTCCTACAACTGGTTGTAACACTCTCAGGAATTAGATGACTCATACTTTTGTGGAAGAAGAATAAACTTCTCATTTAATTCATTATCACTGTACACTTCTATGTGTTAGTTTAGATGGATTTAGCACATTTTTATATCATATGTTTCCTTGCAATCCTTTTTTCTATAAACACCTGCCTGCAGCATTCATGGGCTACTGATATAATCAAGGAACTTCTGGTGAGTAAAGTTTGTGAAAGTGGAATCAATACTGCTGCATATCATTTTAGTAAAATGGGATAGTCAGGTACTTGTCACTTAGTATTGTAAGATAAAATTATTCCTGTTAAATGATACTGTGAATGAAAATCAATTATTCCTTTTTTCCCTTAGACATATACAGTTCACTAAGCTATGAATCTGAGATATTTTATAATTCCAAAACTTACTTTATCTCTTACTATTTCTCTTTGCATTGACAGGGTATTTTCTTCACCCAAACTTTAGCCAAACTCTTCAGAATCCAACTAATTAGCATCATTGATCATGTCCTACAAGGACCTTATTATAGCAAGAATTCAGTTTAATCATTTTAAATTGCCCCACCCCTTCCTCCATATCTGATGATCTTTAATATATGATTAAGTTTCTCACTCATTACCATCACCCAAGTAATAGCTGATCACTTCAGTATATCTTCAGCAAGAATCAATTACTTCCATTTATCCATTGTCTGAGCCTCTTAGACACCTACTCACTGATACACATCCTGATTTTTTACTATAATTTCGTCCTTTTTATATTCAGAGTTGAGCCCAATTTATCTCCTCTGCAGAACCCCAAGAAACCCCTTCAAATTGCCTGAGTAAAGACTACCTTACCATAGCAAAACTGTGGCAAGTGTCATTGAGTAATTTATTTAAAAGTTAAGTGCTCAGACTTGGATAGGATTAGTTCATCATTGGATCTCAAGAGTTCTTACTCAGGACACCAAATGCAAACTCTTAAATCCGTTAACCTCATTTCTGGCCTATTGATGGTAGATCCATTGGTGAGTTCAACTCCTGCGGCAATAATGAAAATAATAGTCTGTTGAGGCAGAGTAAGGACAGTTTGTGATTTTTTTTTTTTTTTGTACCAGGGATCGGACTTGGGTCCTTATGCTTGTGAGGCAGGTGGTAGAACCACTGAGCTAAATCCCCAGCCCCAAGATTGTGATTCTTAAAACTGAATATACTCTACAAGCTGGGTCCCCTAATATCTCCAAGCCCCTACCTTCTAAGTTTCCTCTACTTATCCTTTCAATAGTTCAGCTTCCTTGAATCCTTTGGTATTTAAATCTCACCTTCTTTTATTCCTCTCTTCCTACAAGAATGTTTCCTTTCAAGAGATGTTTAGTCCCTTAAACTTTAGGACCCTACTTCTGTTTTGATTTCCAAGAGACTGAAGATCTTCCAAAAGAAATGTCTGAGTGAAAAAGAAAAGAGCACCAATTGAAATTGAAAATAATATTTTATCTACATAAAGTCATACCCTTTCAATGATTGTATATCTGGATAAAAGAAATCCTTAAAAGTTTGCTATAATATATATTGGCAGAAAGCTTTACCTTTCATATTGGAGAAGGAACTTTACCTTATTTCAGCTTTTGCAAAAACAATTTGAGCAAAAATAAAGAAGTAAACCAAAGAGAAGAGTGCTTTCTTGACTTATGGTTAAAATTTTGGAGTAAAAGGGGCTGAGATTTAGCTCCGTGATTCCAGCTCCTGCCTTGCAAGTACAAGGACAAGAGTTGGATCACCGGAGAAAAGAAAAAAAAAATTTGGAGTAAAAGCTATGAAATCTGTATGCATCTATCTGTATAGATATAGATGTTATGCTTAGTGATATTTTAAAATCATTGAAAGTATTATTAACTTTCTTTATATAATCTCTTTTACTTTTTATTTTATTTATTTAATTGTTTGTTTGTTTATTTATTTTGTTTTTGTTTTTTGAGACAGGGTTCCACTATGTAGTTGAGACTGACCTGGAACTCACTATGTAGCCCAGGCTGGTCTAGAACTCACAGCAATTTTCCAGCCTCAGCCTCCCGAGGGCTGGGATTACAGGTATATAATCCTTTTAAAAGTCCTATTCTGACTGGGTTAGAGGTAAATGAGTACTTATTTAAGCTAAATATTCCTAGTACTCCCAAATATAGAAACTAATTCAAATGCTTTTCTAGTTCATAGGACTTGTTCATGTCATTGGAACATTAAGGCTAGTTTAATGCTGTTGGTTTAATAAAAACAAGCTAATATGTTAATGCTAATAGATTCTGTTAGTATTCAGTGTAATATTACACTTGAATTTAAAAGGTGAGTACTGCTATATTATATCTACTAGATATTTAAGATTATGAAAATTATAAATTAAATCTTAGGATGAAAACACAAGTAAAGATATAATAAAAAAATGCCTGATGTCAATTATCTGGAGGAAAGTAATAATCAAAAATATCAAACAAAGTAAGTGTTCACATTGTTGGCTTTTTACTTTTGGGGTACTTACCGAACAAGCATGTACTTTAAAAATAGTTAACAGGAAAATAACTTGAGATGATGAGCTAGTACCTCTGCCGTTATAGGATCTCTACTGAAAACAGTTCCCAAATATTTTTGGTGACTTCCATCATTAACATGATGGTAAGTTAAATTAAACAATAGATATTTGTAGAATGTCTAGGCCATTTCTAAGAAGATGAGCTACTGAAATAATCATTGCTAAATTTATTTTTGCACAATTTTTGTTTCTTATTTTTGCATAAAGACTAAGAATATTTAAGCCTCTTGATAAACATGTCATTTTAGTCCCATGAAAAATTACAATAAGAGGAAATATGACCTAGGAAACATTGTGAGATGACATTTATAAAACCTGTTAGTATGTTGCAGAATGCATGTAGTCTATTGATGATTCATAGTCATCTACTTTTAATTTTCTTTTTTAACAAAAAGATTATTGTCTAAAAGTTATTTTTTATATATGTGATGAATCTATTAGAAAAATAAAGATGAACAGATATAACTTTGTAGAGTATTCAAGGCAAGGATGTATAGAAGAAATGAACAATATTTGTTTAGAAAAAAAAGACATTTTGTTCTAAAGTAACATGATTGATTTTCCATAATTAGAAATAGGAAAAAGAAGGGGATTAAAAACTAAATGGATTTTAAAAGTTGTAGGTAGTTTGCAAGAAAGTATTCTTATATGTGGTCATGCTGTTAATATTGACTGAATTTAGTTATAAAATTTGTTTTAGTAGTTTTCAAAGGCCTAATGTCCAGATGCAAAACTGAACTTTTTTCTCTTTAATAAAGTGAAAATCTTTTCTTGGGTCATAGTTATGCTCTTACTGAAGTATTATAAGAGGCATTTCTTTACCTTATAAGGATTCTGACTAGGACAATAAGATGCTGGGTCTTCTCGGAGCACTTTCTTGTGCTTCACATTAAGTTTTGTCACATCCTTGATTTTTTCAGAGAACCGAGGCTTCTCTTTTCTGAAAGCACTAAAACATTTTACATTTTCCCAATACTGCTTTCTCTATATAAAATCTTTTTCAAACTGATGTTAATATTTCCCAGAAGATTTCCAGAAATATGAAATGATTGTTCTTCTAACATAGTGAGAAAAATGTTAAAAAATAATTTGTTGTTTTTGATTAATATGTTTCATGATAAGAATAACACTGTAAAATAAGAACTGCTTTAACCTTCCCTCGGTTATACTGACATGGGTAAATATTATAATATTGTTGTATAAATATTGCAGAATTTGTGCGAGATTCCAAGTAACTTGTCAACACCATTATGTCCATAAAATATCCATTGTATCATCAGTCTTAATTTTTAAGCATGGTTATGGCTTGTGTCTAGATGCCCCACTAAAGCCTCTTACATTTGTAGGCGGGACTTTTTCAGAGGTGGCTGGATATAGACTGTGGGACTCTGAAAACTGTTCCATGGTGCAATGCTAGGCTCAAGGGTGCTAGGATTAAGGGGGTGAGTGCTCCCATCTGCTTCCCGATTCTCCCATTGGTAGGCTAAATTTTTGAAACGAGTCACATTATTCTCTAGAAATCTGTTTCCTTCTTTCTCAATCAGAGATAGGCCAAGCTGTCTGTCTGTCTGTCTGTCTGTCTGTCTCTCTCTCTCTCTCTCTCTCTCTCTCTCTCTCTCTCTCTCTCTCTCTCATATCCCGGAACTCTTACCTGCCACAAGCTCTTCCACTGACTTCTTTCCACACTCAAAGTTCGGACAATGCTGCCTTTAACGTCGACATTAGCAATACCCATTCATTTCGCTTCATCTTGTTCCTCAAGTATCTCCTACTCTGGAAAAGGAAGGGTAGTTTGGGAAGCGGAGAGGTTTCCCTAAACCGAAAGTGGGAAGATGTGTAACGGAGGAGTTCAGGGTCGAAGAGCTGCATGGGGCTTTGAGCAGGAGGCTGCGGAGGTGAATGCGGCAACGTAACAATCAGCCTGTGCTGTGACCCGGAGCTTAAATCACTAGGCACAGGCCTTTGCTCTCAGTTCACAGCAAGAAGCTCCACCAGCCCAGCACGAAGCACGAGCAGAGCACCCTCCAGGCACAGGGATTTCTTGCCTCTCAGAACTTGGACCTCAACATTAGTGGAGTGAAAAACCATACAGAAGCTAAACCCAGTAGACTTGCTTTACTCACATTCTTTGCAAGAAAGCAACAAGAACCTCCCGGTGATGGGCCTTCAAAAATATTTCATTTCTTTTTCAAGTTCTTCAATTGGCTGCAGTTTTATTTTCACTCTACATTTCACAAGGAGGTAACATTCTGAGGACGCCTGAAGAACATTTGGATAGGAAGGGAAGGGCCCAAACAATTTTTTTCAGTTTCAATTCCCATACCCTGTGCCCTACTTTTCCTTTCGCTGAGAAGAAATAACCAAAGAATACTCTGTTTTGTAATAATGAAAGTAGTTTTACAGTTAGTGATACTATTGTATCCAAGAAAATAAAAGAAACAGACCAAAAAGAAAATAAAAAGAAAAGAAAGAAAGAAAGAAAATCGAGGACTTTATGGCAAAGGCTAAAGTGGGTTCAGGGAACAGTCTTCCTTTGCTGCCTCTCTTCTAGCTGTGTGTGTTCAATCAGCTGGACACCAAGGAGGAGCTAGGGACCAGCACTGTGATTCTTCATCTCCCTTCTTCACTGCATGGAAGACAGAGGCCTGGCCGATCTGAGAGACAGTACGGGAGTTTACAGGTCAAGGATGTTGTCTAAAGCCATGCAGAGAGAAGCAGAACATGGTGAAGTAGCCACCACAGAGACCTGGATTGCCAAGACAGAGTTTTAGCCATTCGTGCAGTGAGTCAAGGTTGCAATACAAAATCTAGTGGTTTCATCCGGAGTTGCAAGATGGTGACTCAGAGAAGGGGAGTTACCAAGTCGAGTGGCCTTTGTCTAATTTTAAACTGATTTGTCCTAGGGCCTTATTTGTGTATAATCGATAATCACACATTTTATAAATACAAAGCAAGGGATCATAATCCAAGAGAATAGTCAGACTAACTTCAAACCATTGCAGTTTTGCCAAACCGACCTTCTCTATGTTTTGGATATACTTGGTTGTGATCAGCAGTAAGCACAAGTTCCACAGCAGTGAGCTACAGCCCTTCCTCATCCGTGTACCCCTTAAACTACTTTAACTTCTTGTTGACTACCAGTGGAATGACTGACAATTCTCCAGACAGCCTAAATGAAATAGAAGGCATTAAATATGCTTGAAGGATGGACAGGTAGAGAAGGAAACCAAAAAAGAAAACAAACAAAAAACAAAGAATTGAACACAACTTACAAGTAATTACCCTTTCGGAAATAGGATCCAAAATCTTTGATTAGTTGACAACCACTAACTTTCTAAATGCAGCACATCCAGTCAAATGAGACAGTTTCGTTTTAAGAGAAGCCTACACTTTTACAGATTTGGGGAACATTCTTTCCTGTAAGACAAGTGTAATGTTCTTTTTTTTTTTTTTTTTTTTTTTTTTTTTTTTTTGATACCAGGGATTGAACTCGGGTCTTTTGAGCTTGCAAGACAGGCCACCAAACCGCTGACCTAAATCCCCAGCCCAGCCCATAATGTTCTTGAGTCATAGGATTGTCACAGGTTTGAAGTCACCTACTCTTCCCTTCCCCGTACTGGGGATTGAACTTGGGTCCTTGCTCTTGCAATGAAGTCACCTACTCTTGAGCAGTTTCAGAACCACAACATTTTCATATAACTAGGTTGAATTGCAGGAAGAGGTATGGTGCCAGGAGTTGTACTTGTTAAGCAAAAGCACAGGGTGAGGCTAGAGCCCAGCTTTAAAAATTAACATTATTTGGATACTGGAGAGTTCCAAGGGAATCCTGTAGTTCCCTGCCACCAAGATCGTCGTTTCTGTGTCTGTAAGTATCTGCTAGGAAACACAACTGGTCTATGTGAAAGCTGTGTTGGACCCTCATTCGTAACTCAAATTAGTAGCCCCAACAGCCTATATTAGAATTTAAAACAAAGTCACATGCAAATGAATGCAAATCTGTGTGTCAGTTCTGCAATCCCTGCCTGGGGTTAGGGAATTTAAAGAGTAGTTACTTAGATATTCATGAAGCTAAGAAGGATACTTCTGGTGCAACACAATTTATTGTATTTATCAAAGACCTGCTATGTAAATTGTTTGTGTGTGGACATATTTTTTCTACATAATTCTTTTCCCTTTAGACCAGCCACATTCTGTATATCGACTTAAAAAATTACTATGCACATTGCCTCACATTGTAATTTCCATGGATTTTTTTCTCTTTAAAAAATTAGTATTTAAATGAAATATTCTCTTATTACTGAAGATTTATCTGAACTCCAATTTCAATAGAAAGTTGTTTTCCATATATTTTGAACTCTTACAACTTCCCTATGCTTTTCCTAGTTTCCTGAATGCTTGCTACTTTTTAATATGGGTGTCTTTATGACTTATTTTACTTGGACTCAGTTCTTAAAATATAGAACAGTTAACAAAAAAACTTTTTATTATACCACTTGAGTATCTAGTAGAGTTTTTCTGTTTGTTTCTTTGTTTATTTTAATAAAAGATAGGCGACAACTACTACTTTGGTTTTAGGTTTTTTGTGTATGTACCTATTGCAGAAATCTGAGATTATAGCTGTTATAAAATTCCAAATCAGGAAGATTTGTATTTCTTTCTACCGCACAGCATTCTTAGAAGCTTGTTTAAGATATTCTCGCCTATGACTCAGCCTATTCTGTAATCTTTGGGCTTTTGGATTCCAAAAAATGCAAATGAGCTTGTCAAACTTAACACAAGCAGAGCAGAGTGCAAGCAGGGACCACAGATTCCTTTGTATCTCTTCGTAGTTTAATTCTGAAGTAAGGATAGTGCCTCTTGTTAGTTTTACTATGTAGCAGATTATGGTATTTAAAACTGGCATAAATCAAAATCTTTTAAGGTACTTATGAAGTGCAGGAGAAAAAATTAATGTTGACACTGTGGATAGTTGGCATACCAGTAGCAGGAGCCTCAGACATATAATACGATCTGTCTAATATTAAAATTCAGATATGGTACAAAATTTTAGGAGGCCCACAATTTGGAGACAGATACTGTTTGAACCCACTGAGGCATCTTTTTTATCTCTTGTACCTCATATATACACCTAAAACTATAGAAATATTCTTCCTGTGACTGAACACTTTTCATTATCTTCCTCAAATCACTGTTCATGGAAACAGATAACATACTAGTTGTACAAATTTTACTGTTTTCCCTTAGAAATATACTGCATAGGAATTGGTGCTGCATTTTTCAACATAAGAAAAGTGCTCATTTATTTAAAAATTGATGCTGACACTGACAAGTGAATTATTACACTTTGGAGCTGTTTGCTGAGCGTACATATGCTTGTGAATGTTTTCACAAGTCTTCGTGTTTCCATAATGTTTTCTTGGCTGTGTTCACGGAATTACCAAATATTAATGAACTCAGGTTCCTTCCTTCAATCCTTGGAGATAAAAATCACACTTCCCCCAAGAAAATTATTCTACAGCCCTGTAAGGGTATGGGGAAAAGTAAACCAAGATCCTACCCACCCAAGTCAATGTGGCTGTATACATTAATCCCTTCCAAGGCACTAACCTATCACTTATATTTTATTTAATAGTCTATATTAAATTAAAAGATTGCAAAAGTAAATTGTATACCTCAAATTATACGAGCTTGTATTTAACACTTAACCTCATATCAGAGAAATGAGGGAAAACATGAAAGCAATTTTGCAGTCAAATGTTCATCTGACATGCACCACTATGTGTGTCTGAGTTGCTTGGCTTGCTGTTTTTAATGCTTGCCCAATTTGTTTTCTACTTCACTTGCTGGAAGGTTGAACATACCCTTAGGGCAACAGTCAATACTTTTTGATGAATAGAAAGGATGTTGCTGACATTGCAAAACTTCAGAAAGGTTTCACAAAATATGATTATTGTTATACTTTGCACAAAAGCCTCAGCTATTGATAGGAGCAGATGCATTTGGTTTTCCATTTTCAAGTTTGTTTTTTAAAGTCCCAAGTTGTACTGTCCATTTGTAGAAATAAGTGATAGTGAAGTTGAAAATTATGGAAGCTAGACTATTCCTTGGAGTCCATAGTGATGCCTAGAAGATTTATTTTCTGGTTCATATTAAGCTTCAATACACATAGAAAATTTGTACAATCGACAGGGTGGAGTTTTCCTTGTCACTGAGCATAAAAATAGTGAAATGTGACATGATGATTGGGAAGAAATAGTGCAGTTTTTCATTGTTGAAGCTATCTGAGAAAAGAAACATTATGTTTTATTTAACAACTCCTTAGTTACAAGATTATTTCCTTAGGAGCTTCTGTTCTTTATCATTGAGCAGAAAAAGAGCTTGACTAGAACAGAGCCATAGTAGCAAATATTGAACTATGTTAGCAAAGTTACATAGTAACAAAGTACAGATATTAACTTGTGCTAAGGAATATTATAGCAGTAGAGGCTGTTATAGTGAGGCAGAAAGGAACAGTAGTGATAATGACATTTTATATTACTGAAATAGGTGACTATTTCAAACAGATATAAACTATTTGTTACTAAACCCTGCATCAAACTCATGAGATAGGTAGGAATATATTTGTATTGTCTATAGTGGATTTTCTGTTGCTCTAACAAAACACCTAAGGCTGTATACTTTATAAAGATTTTTTTAGTTTAAGTAGCTAGAAGTTTAAGATCAAGAAAGGCTATCTGTTTTGCGTCTGATGGAAGCATCGTAATGATAAAGGCTGTGTGCCCAGCATGGGGGAGAGTGGCCACTTGGCCAGTCAGGAAGACAAAGAGGAGCTCAGAGCTCAGGCTTTAACAGTGATTCATTCCCAAGAGAACTAAATTACTCCACAAAACCTGCACACAATTTTTCTTGAGCTTGATGCCTCTAATAACATAAATACATAGCACTAAGGCTCACCTCTGATGGTTTCCAAAGCCTCCACAACATACTGCAACTTCCAAGTCATGAATCCTGGCGCAACAAAGTGTAGCCAAACCATAGCAATATCCATGATTATTCTATCCTTACCAAAAGAAAACTGAAGTTCAGATGGTTTCAGTGACATGCCCTCATATATAAAGAAAATATGCTCTGTGGGTATCACAAAAATAGACTTGAGTTAAGCTGAGCTGAGTTTTGTTTTGTTTATTTTGCTTTTCCAGTACTAAGGCTTTAACCCAGTGTATTGTATTTGCTCAGTAAATATTCTGGCACTGTGAGGTACGTCCCTAGGCAAGCAGGCAGGTATTAAACATGGGTTTTCTTTCAAATCTATAATTTCTTCTTCACAATTTATACAAAGATTATCAGAGATAGATAAAATTAAGTGCTTCGAATTCAAGTTAAATTTTGATGAAGGAAAATCAGTAGTCATATTAATACCTTTAGTTTGAAGAGATATTTCACAAGATGATTTTTGCTCCCCAAAAGGCTTGCGGAAGCTTTTATTGCACAATTTCTGATATGGTTTAAAAGACAATACTATAACATTGCAATAGTGTCGCCACACATTTCTGTGTCATAATACAACACTAAAATCCAGCATCACCAAATAATAAATTTGAGTAGAAACAATGCACATCTCAGTATATTTCTATATTCAAATAATATATTTAGTGAAAAAACTAATTGCCTTTCTTTCTTAAGTAAGCATTGGTTTTTCCTAATCTTGTTATTAAATCATACAAAATACAGTCTTTTAAAAATAATCCATATCATTTATTTATTAAGTATTTCATTCAAATACATGTTAAGTTTATAGTAGATACCAGATACTGGTGCTAGACACAATGACTACAATTTCATATATAGTTTAACTAAAGCTGAAAAAAATTACAACAGAAGTAGAAAAATTATTTTCTTTCATGTTTTTAAAATTTTTCCAAAAAATATAGATATACTAACATTTATATAACACGAAGATCATGACAAAGCAAACAGCCTGGTTTAAGATTTCTGTAATCATATTAAAAATGGACATAAGTTATCTTGGAACTTTCAAAAATAATGTTATCCTCCTAAACTGTGATTTTAAACAGCTCTATTTATTTTGTAGGACCAAATTAAAACATGGTCTTGGGGGCAAAAGATATGTCTTTTTCTTTTATAAAAAAAATTAATGATTCTAAGTACATAATTTTGAAGATAGAGAAACCTGAATGCTGAGAACATGTAAAAAATGACTGCACTTCTACCTTAGTTTTGACTCTAAACGCAAATAAACAAAACAAATCAAAACAAAACAAAAAAACTTGAGAATTTTGTATTATATTGATTTTGAAATGATTGAAGATTTTGTATTAAATATTATGAAGTTCAGTTCTACTTTGTAATGTAGAATTTTCTAAAATCCAGAAACATGTTCATGAAAGTGTATCCAAGAATCAAGTAGAATATATTTTCATCCTGTTTACAGCCACTTAAATTCTTCCATTTATGAATTTAATAACAATGGATATATTATTTACATAGTTAGGAGTATGCAAAAATAATTGCCCCCCAAATTGACCCTTATTTATTCCAGTCAGAAGAAGTTGAACTGAGTAACATAGAAGGCACTTTCATGTCCAGAAACTTGAGAAATTAGTTTTTTTTGTTTTATTTTTATTCTCCTTTGATAAAATCTTGCTATGTGTGTCAATAAAGTACATTCACACAATGTCTTGTACCTGACATTTTGAAGTGTTCTTCAATGTTCATTATGATTAAACTATAAATTATAACCATGTAAAAATGCAAAAATAAAAAGATTAAAGAACTACAAAGACATCCCAATAGTGACAGTATATGTTTAATACAATTTTAGGTGTTTCTTGCTTTGTTTTTTATACTCTTATATTTCCTATTTTTAAAAAAATCTGCACATAACATATTAGAAACAATATATTTGGAAAAATACCTAAAATTGTAGAGATAATATGTTGTCAAAATTGTGCAAAATATGTGGCGCAAAATAGTATAAAGGGGCTATTTTTATTTTTATGTATTTATTTATTTATTTTGGTACCAGTGATCGAAGGGGAGCTATTTTTAAAAGTAAAATTTGATTGTGCTGTAAGTTTAACAGAGTTTCAGTTATTTCCATTTTTATAATTTTTGAAATCATTACTCATTATTTTTATGGAAGCGTAATTTTAATTTATGAAAAATTGTTATGATTACCCTCTAGTATCTGAAGAAACAGCTCAGGTCACAAAATTGTACATCACACAGCATAAATAAGATATAATTTCAGGTTGACTGGAGGTCATAATTCAAATATCAAATATAAGAAGAAAAAAATGTCATGAGCCATCCTATTTTCTCCTGGTAGCATTAATCTTTTCCACAATTAATTGGTTCAATGAGAACCCATAAGCATCTCTAGCCTTGAAATAGCTATAGAGAGGACATAATTTGCATTTTTAAAATGTGTTTTAATGATTTGCTTTATTTTAATGATCAGAAATGCTAAAAATCGCTAACACATGGATTCAAATTTTCTCTTTCTCAATTCTCAGACTCAAGCTTATCATGAACCTTAACTGTATTATTAGATGTAGGACAGTCTTGACTTACTGGTTTATTCTTAGTTAGAAACAGTATCAAGGCTTCATCTTTCCTCTGGGTTACACTTTTCTTAAATAGGTTATCAAGTTTTCAATAAAGAAATAAATGAGTTTTAAAATTGATATATTAACCTAGATTTATTACAGTTCCTTAGACATAATTTTATACCAACCTTTCAGTCTCTATTCTTATTCATTCCCCCATGGTATGAATTAGTTTATTGATTAGGAAGCTATGGTCTGAGGGCATAATGAGAATCTGTAATGAAAAACTTATTTTAGAAATAAATTACATTTGCAACAGTCAAAACCAATTTTCCTATGTTCATCTTGCAATCTATTTCACATTATTTCCCACGTGTAACCAACATATTCCTGATTCATGACATCATGTAGATAATCAATTAGGATGAAAGAACATAAAGTGTCAAGGATAACCTCTCCAAGGATAACCTCTGGTGGTCTCATTGTACGATTCTTATATTATTATATTCAATAACTAAAAGTGCCATTAGAGAAGTATACAATTTTGTAAAGATATTCAGTGCTGAGACATTCACAGAACAAAATACATGCTGTTGCAATAATCATTTAATGTATGAGAAAAGGTTTGCTAATAAAAGGTGTGATAATGCAACAAAGTTCTAATATTATATGGAGGCTGTATGTCATGGGACTCTATAATACATTCTTTTAATCTTCCTGTGACTCTATAAGTAATATTTTCATATCTATGATTTAGTAAGAGGAAATGAGGAACCGGAGGATTTGGCCATGCTGATATTTCCAAAGGGAGCGCTTGTCAGTGCCTAAACCAAAATTCTTGGACACTTCAATCTTAGAGAATTAGGTAAGTACACTCTTGCCCGTCCATCTTAGTCGAGAGAGAGAGAGAGAGAGAGAGAGAGAGAGAGAGAGAGAAACTCAAGTGTTCCCGGAAAGCAGGGAAGGTGCCTTTAGGTGAGATGCCCTTCGTCTTGGGGTCTGCACCATCGCTGTGTCCCTAACACCAGTGCCCTCCCTTGGTTCCCCTGTGGAAGAGCCCATCTCTCTCCACCTGAGCGAAGATGCCATCTACCACCCTGGGAGACCCCTTAGACAGGTGTTTGGAAGAGTCTTGAGGACATGAATATATTCAGGTGTCTGTTTTAAGCATCTTTTAATAATATTTTTGATATATTCTTCTTTGTCTAGTGCCACCAGCTCCAGCCACATTGAATGGAATACTGGAGACTCCCAGGACTTTTCTTGGTCCTCTGCTTGTTGATTTAATGTGTTGCCTCTGACCCTTGTCGTCCACTCCCTGTCATGGACAGCGGAGGGCACATGCAGCCCCGCCGTCCTGTGTGACTCTGTGACCAGGTGTTTTGTTTTAAAATTGTCCTTCCAAATCAACAAGTCTTTGAAAATTAGGGAAAAAATTAAATTCTCACCAACAGTTGATGAATCAACAAAGAGTTGACTATCAAAAAATAAAGTTTCCCAGTGTCTCATAATTTGGGGAAGATAGATAGATAGATAGATAGATAGATAGATAGATAGATAGATAGATAGATAGATATCTCACTTTCAATACTTTATTCTTAGATATTGTTCTGCATTACCTTTCTTTAAAGAGGGAAACTGACTCATTGCCGATAAAATCACAATCCTTTAGCTTCCTGAAAAAATACATAAAAGAATCCTGCTAATAATACTATAGATATATTACAGGTATGATGGCATATTTATGTTACTACACTTGAAGTCTTATGGTTTTGTTATTAGATGTACCAATAAAATTAATTAATTAAAGAAAAGAAAATGATACTGTAGCGAATGAAGCATCCTAGCTGCATCTCTAAGAAATTGGCAGAGGAAATAGGAACTAGTAGACTTTCATTTTTAATCATATAAGCATTGGAAAAATTGTACAGTTGTAAAAGTGAACATATCCTCCTGTACTATTCCTAGAGTTCCTATTACACAGAGCTATTTTCTATAATATAAAATTTCAGGAATTTTTCTGCACACACATATACACACATATACACACATTACACATCTGTTTTAAAAATGACATGTTATAATTTGAAATCTGTGTCTCTTTTATTTTGGCTACCATTCCACATCAACACAAGTAGGTGTAATTTATTAAAATATAAATTAGTGTAGATGAATATATACTTCAACTCTTTATAAACGTGCATATAATGTTGTTCCAAATGTCTCTATTACAGAAATTCTGATTCATTACTTGTAATATACACTTATGCATAATATTTTGACATAATACTAAAAGTGAAATTATTAGTCTAGTGCATGATTAAAAACTGCTAACTTTAATCTTCTAATAAATATTTGTGTATTGAATGTAGCATAATTAAGTGGTTCAGTGTTTATTGTCAGCATTTTAATAGATCTTCCCCCCAGTAAATTTAAGCAGATTTGAGTTATTGCTGTTGACACCTTAGTTAAATAAGTTTTCCTAGCCGTTCTAATCTGTGTGTTTATAATCCCTCCAGGGTCCAGAAGCATTGCTAAAAAGGTCCTTCCTAAATAAAATAGGAAAGGCTAAGCATTTCTTTAGGGTGCCACTTAACAAGGGTAAGGTAGGCCTTATAGAAACTACTCATATTTCACATTATCAATCTGTATTTAATAAATAAACCTACATGCTTAAAGAAAAATAATAATAAACCAATAAATAATTGCTAGTAAAGTTTTAGGAAATATTTTTTTTTAATTTTGACACACCAAAAAGCAAACTCCTAAGCAAACAATGAAATTATAAATTTTTGTATTTTCCAACAATTTGGCTGAATTTTAAAAAATTAATCAAAATTTAAAAATCACTAGCTGCTCATTCATGCCTCATTGGCCATTTTGATATCACATATTTACTTAATTAGGACAAATCTTATAGTATGCATTTTATATTTCTGGCTCAGATGACAGAAGAGAATATTTTATTTTTAAATATACAAGTTTTTTCATGAAATTCCTATGACGAAATTAATTAGCAGATAATATAACGTATTATACATATTAACTTTTCTGTGATTAGAAATTGTGGTCTGGTTAAAATATTTCTGTTAATGAGAAATTATGTTTAAATATGAGTCAAAATTCTGAATTTATGGGAATATACGTAATACAAACTATGTCAAACAGAATTTAATAATTCATGATCCATTAGGGAATTTAGAATCTTTCATGCCATATGGCCGTCATTATAGATTTTACTGTAATTTTTCAGAGAATAATTCTAAAATTCACCTTTCTGAACTCATCTTTTAAATGACAGTGGTCAATTGTAATAGGCTTTTTCATTTTTCTTAGAAAAATATCACACGAGCAGTAATTATTTATTATAAATATATTATTGATATTTGTCTTATAACTAACATAACAAATTGTATTTATTATTTACCTGATAAACGTAATTTTTCCAGCTTTACCAAGCCATGTACCTAGTTAAAGGTATCACAAACAAACATGGTTTGGTCACCATGTCACCTTTAGCACTGATTTTTTTCTAACAATTTCCCCTGATATTTTAAGATAATTGAAGGCAAATGTTTAAGACCATGTGTACTTTAGTGATATTTTCCAGCATTTTCAATAGATTTGTAAAGTGATGAGTTCCTCATTTGAAAACAAAGACAGATTCATCTCATTAATCAGAATTTGAGAAACCTTTAGTACAACACAAAGAAAAATATTTCTAATTATAAGGCATTATTTTGTTATTCTGTTGGCTACCTTGTGTGCAAAAATAAGGGTCACATTTTGATATTGGCACCTAGAGATTCTGGAGGTGGAAATGGGGTTATTATCTCACATTGAAAGCATCCTGGAAGCGAGGAGGAGGAGTTAAAACTGAAAATAACTGAAGATCACTCACTACGTATTCTTATTTATCTAGTATTTCACTCAACATGTAATTATAGGGACATTTTTGTTTCATTGTTCAAACTGTAGTCTCAAATAGTGTCCAGTCAATTTTCTAATGATTCCCCGCAGTACTCAGCATTGCGATGCTCATATTATTGATATTTACGGAAAACTTTGAAAGACATATCATGAAGGAAGTAAAATGCTTGATGCTTTTTAATCGACCAGGATATAAACCTCATGTACAGATGATTTCCATTATTGTCTACAATCAGCCTATTGAGCTTTAATATGCTAAGCTCTATGTTAATAGTTTATATACTATAATCTAATCCTCGTAGCTGACTAGTTACAGGAGCCAGTACCATCATTGAAATTTTGCACATATAGAAACAAAATTATTGAGATCAAATTATTTCCTTAAAGTTATGCAAATTGTGAGGGTTAGAGGTAGGATTTGATAGGAGACAGCTGACTTCAAAGCTCACACTCCTAACTGCAGCACAGTCTTTATCTTCCTTCTGTGAATTTGCAATAAAATATTTAACAGATTAGTCTCTAGGTATAGAGACACTGAGAAAAATCTCTCACTGAAACCATGACAATTTGGAATTGAAGAACTATTTTACATGTGACTGTGCCTTTCTAAACAGCTTTTTATGAATGGAGAATGAGAAATTAAGGTGTGGTAATTTATTGAAAGTTGTGACCGTTTTTATTTGATAATGATGCTACAAAAAGTTCATTAATACAGTTGAATCAATTGGACCCAAAATAGTCAGTTGTAAGAGCAATTTTTTGAACAAAAGAAACTGAAAACAAGTTTGAATAATGCAAACCTTTAATATGGTATATTACTTCCTTCTACATGAATACCACATCTTAAATGCGTCTGTTATATGATATAACCACTTTTGAATCACTGTTCTCAGTGTTTATAATTTGATTTGAAAAATATGCTGATCTATATAATATATTTATGTATATGCATATGTACTTTTACATAGTCTTCAAATATAAGACCTGGTCAGATGATATATTCAGTTGATTTGATTTCATTATAGTCAAATTTTAATTATGAAAACAATTTCAGAATAAAAATTTTGGTATTTATATTAAGATAAGATTATGCATAGAATGAAAACAATGTTTTTATTTATATGGATCTCTATTTCTCACACTTTTTAAAATTTAGTTAGTTTTCACAATTTTTATGACTCCTGTATTCCTGGATGAGGCACAAAATAACAAATATAAATATAATATTTCCCAACAAGAAACACATTCTTTTATTGGTAAGCCTTTTCAATTTTAATTAAATATCAACACATACTCTTAATAATTATGTTTAGCAGAGATATAATTGGAAAGGAAGGACAATTAATATTGCTCCTACCCATGGGAAGCTGTAAACATAACATTTGTCAAGAAACATATGTTTGCTGCTTCATCTGAGAGATGATGTATTCAAATAAAATGGGAGGCTAATGGGAATTCATCAGAATCGTTTTGCAAGTTGGCCATAGAGTTAGAAATAGGACAATCTGCCAGGGTACATTTACTATTTTCCACAATAAAATTGCCTGATACATATTTTGCATATATCAACATTCTGTTGTTAGTTAGAGATAAATACACAAAACCCCCGACAAAATTATTTCTTCTGAACTATAGCATAGAACTGATAGATAATGATTTCCAGAAACCAACAGCTCTACCTGGATTTATAGGTCAACATACCCTAAATCAAACTCATGGTCTCTCCTAGATTCTGCCTGTGTGTATTCTGCCGCCAGTTTCCTTTTCATCTAACGACAGTAACACAACGTCCCTGCACTGCTTCTTGTGTCAGAAATATAGTATCACTCTCTGCTTATGACACCCACCATTTTACCAGGCAATAATTCAATTATATCTAACAAATGTTTACTAAATCAATAAATTAATTGTTGTTTTCAAAATAATACAAAACAACAACCAATAGTTCTGAAGTCTCACCATTTATTAACCTTTTGGTCAAGTGCATTAGAAAAATCGTGATCTCCAAGATAATTATAGAACATGTTAGCGCGTTGATGTTGATCAAACACAGAAGCCTATTTTCTGGATCGCTGTATTTTTTCTCAAAATTAGATGACCTCTGCTATCATGATGGCAACAAAGTTAAGTGCTACCGAAAAACCTTTCATTCCCTCAGTCCATTCTGCTTGCTGTTAGTCGTACTATCTTTATGGAGATCTGATTTATTATACTTCCATTAACCTACTTGAAGCTTTTCCAAGACTTCTAGATTCTTGTCAGTCTTGCCTATATTTTTGGTCTAGTTGGCAAGGATTCCATTTCAAGGATCAATACTGAAGACCTACTCAGTCCTTGAAATACAACTTTCATGTTACGAAGCACTTCTGTTTTCATTGTTTTCTCTGTCTTACATTTCTTCCTCCTTGACTGCTTAATTAACTCTTATTCATCTTTAAAGACTCATCTCCAAATATTTAATTTCTGCATCTGCTTTAGAGATATAATTCATCTAAATTTGCATCTTGAATTT